ATGAGATGATGTTGTACAGATACGGCCATCCTACCATCAGGCAACAAGTTTACACATTGCATCTAAGGCTGATTCACTTCTTTAGAATTTCACAGGCAATAATGCACTGGTATTGCTCACCATTCTGCTTGGTGTTCAAACCAAGATCTACTTATCTAACTCACTGCTTAGCTTTTGGGTATTATGAGTAATGCTGCTCTCAGCATTTCTGTACTGCTTTCCAGTTACACATACCGTAGAGAGACACACCAGGACATATGCGTGGAGTGGAATTATTGTTTTATAGGCCATATAGAGCTTCAAGTTCACAAAAGTATACTAACCTATTTTCAAAAAGGTGGTACTAACTCACCATACCCACAAACAATTCTTAAAACTTCCTCTTTCTCCATCTGCTGGCCATTTCCTGGAACTGTCAGACGAAACTTCCAATCCCTACATACAGTGGTTTTATTGTGTATTTTTCTTATTACAAATAGAGTTGAGTATCTTCTTACATGCTTATGATACATTTTGAAACTTTCATTTCTTCTGCCTATTTGCTCTGTTATGCTATTTGTTATAACCTAAGCCCCCCTAACTAGCTGAAGCCTGTTCTGTATAAGCACAACCTGCTGCTTCCCCTCCCCTTCTCCCTTCACATCTAACTAGGTTGTTTTAACTTCCCCGAAAGGCCACAAAACAAAGGCCTGAGGTAATAGCTCCTGACAACCCCCTTCCCTACCCGGTGGCCCGTCACAAATTGTGTTAATTGCATTAGATTGTATTAGATTATTCTTCACAAAAATAGCTTCATTATATTTGTATCATAGCAATACCTGTAACTTGGCCTTACTATATATGTGTTTTCCTTTTCCCTTTGGGTGACCTAATTGATATGTTAATCAATGCTCTCCTCTGTAAAGAATTGTAAAATCTTACCTAGTTGATATGTTAACCATTGTTGTCCTCTGCAAAATAACAGTTGTGGTGCTAAAGTAAGGTAACTAAGGTTGTTAATTGCTGTTAGACTTCTCTATTTTTTGCTAAGAAAAACAAAATTTCTTCTTATCTAAACTTGCTTGTATGCAGGGAGACTTACAATTACCCGTTTCTGTTTTGTAGTGTGCCACACCCCCAACCGCCTCCTTACATTGTGTGACCAGCAGCTGTTTGTGGATTTACAAGATAAAAGCCCTGACTTTTAGCTGTCAGGTACACAGTCTCCAAATTGGCTCCTGGAGGCTGTGTCACCAGGCCTGGCTTAAAATAAAGCCTTTGCTCCCCAAATTTTAATTTCTTGCTTCCTTGGATTTTTATACCGGGGTCCGAGTTATCACACTATTAGCTATTTCACAAATGCTTTAAAATTTTTTGTTTTTCCATTACATACGGGACACAAAACTGTCTCTGGTAACATTGTATATATAATTTATATGCAATTTTTTCTCTTGTGGGCAATCTTATCTCAAAATCATATATGCCACATTTTTTTCTTTTATTTTAGAACTTTAGTCAGAATTAATTTTCTTCAAAATGTGAGGGAGAAATTCAACTTTGTTTTTCACAGATAACCAGTTATCCCAATACCAAGTATTGCAAAGGTCACCAGTCACCATTTTTCAGATTAATCTCTGGCATCAATAAAGTATGTTTTGCCTTTTTTTTTTTTTTGTCTTTGTCTTTTTCTTTTTTATCAGTACCAGGGATCGAACTCATGACCACACACTTGCAAGGCAGGCACTTATGCCACTGAGCTAAATCCCCAGCCCCATATAGTTTGTTTTGGACTTTGTGTTTCCATTTGTTGATTAACACATATCTATGTGTGTGCTGTACTATCTTAATTACTATAGCATAAAATTTATCGATTACCAGAAATGCAAGTTCCCCAAAACTGTTACTGTAACAAATTCGAAAGAGAAAATGCAGACTTCAGGTTTTAGCCCAGATTGACCGGCTCTGTAGTACTGGGACTAAGGCAGGACAGTGCATGGTACCAGAGCTAAGGGAGCAGACCCGTTCACCTGAAGATCAGGGGCACAGGACAGACAGGAAGAGCCCAGAGGCCACCGTCTCTTTCCAGGCCCAGCCCAACAACCTTACACTTCCTATGAGACCCTACCACCAAAAGCTTCTACCACCTCTCAAAGTATCACAGTCTGCCCCCAACCCTTAGATATACTGAGGCCATTAGATGATGCCTGTCCAAACTGTAGTGGAGAGGGAAAAAATCTAAATTTCTGGAACAGGCCAATTTCAGTTGATGTGATAATGTATTTCCTTTTGCTTTAATTCCTGCATGAAACAAATAACCTGATGTTAATTAACTGTTGTTTCCTTACTGTTGTCTTACAGTGTTCACTTCATAAGGAAACTAACTTTGAAGTGATCGGTCTGGCTTTTGCATTTGTTTCTGTCTTCTTCAAATCCTTCTCTGTCTATGGAATCAAGCAACCTTTGCTCAAACTCTTATTCTGTTTCATGGGACAGAGTGTTTCCCAATTTCAGAATGCAAAATAAAGCCAATTAAGATCATTAAACCAAAGTGTTGGAATTTTATCCTTTGACAATTCCAAATATCTTGATGCTAGAATTTTTCTTAAGTACACTAATATAGTGGTGCTTTAGTTTAAGAACTTAATTCATTCCTTGATTCTGGGAATGAAAGTCACAGTTGTAATCATCACCCTGGAATGGAAGCCAAATTTTGCCAAACACTTCTGTTTGTCAGCCAGACTGTTTGTAAACAGAAGCAGTGGTGAGCTGAAGAATTACTGTACTGAAACAAAATCTGTGCTCTGCATTTGAATGAATTGGGACCATACTATTTACATAATATGGTAGGATATTAAAAGTGACCTATGTAAAAGATAAATGGCCTTATACAGATGAATAAGCAGGTCTCATACAGATCGAACAGAAGTAAATTGGCCATCAGGTGAGTTCCAGGAGCAGGTTGCGGGGACATCTGTGGATACCCACAGGGCCTCCAATCAGCAAGCCTCCTGCTCAGGAATCCACCAAATTACATATGGGTGAAGAAAAAGAATTTCACATGTACTTACTGTCTTATGGTAAAACAGAGCAGAAGACACAGAGGAGATCTTACAACAGATAATATTGTTTCCCATGGGGCAGTGCTCTAGGCAAGAGGTGTGGACAAACTAGTCCCTCCATTCTTTGGTTAGAACAGGGGGGAAAAATGTGATTATCAAGACTTTTCAAAGCTTATTTTATTTAATAAATAGTAAACAAGTTTACTGCAGACAATGAACCATGAAGGATTTGTTTCGTGTTTTGAGATGATGTCTGTATTTCTGGAGGATAACAGTAAAGACAAAGTTTCTTACTTACTCATTGATTTACTTGGTTAGCTTAACTTCCTCATCTTGGTAGCTTCTTTTTATATACCTAATGACTCCCAGTAGAATACTTGCTCACTAGGACTTTTCAATCTATTCCCATTATGCCTTCCAGGACACACTGAGATATGCCTGACTCACCCTAGGCAATAGTGTCTTGTCCACATTCATCTCCCCAACCTTCATGCCCATTCATTTGGTCAATTTCACTTATTTGTCATCACCTCTTATAAATCACTTCCTCTGACAGCCTACCTTCGGCTTCCCAGCATTACTCAGCTGATGAAGTGTCCCAGTAACAATAACTGCACTTTTGTTTTCTCTAGCTAGTGAAAGGCCATGAGCAAAGTGAAGTGCACCGACTTGCCAGGATTATACAATTCATGAAAACACAGCCAATGCATGATGTTAGGGCCAGGATCCCCATTTTTCCTCCATTGTTTCCACCCGCACGCAGTGCCTCTGGGGAATGCTGAGACAAAACCTCCAGATAGGCCCGGTGTGAATCCCGGGGAGGCCCGCGTCTTTCCCATGTCGTGCTGCTCCATCCGGTGACTGAGACATCCAGACTACAGTCCTGACCAGCTCTGTCGGCCTCCCTCATGGGAACATCCAGTGCTGTAATCTGCATGCACCTCAGTCCCTATGCCTTCTTGTTGTTGCCAGTGTTAATGCGTAGCCATGGTAATTTTGTGAGTTCACTTCAGAGTTCACAGCGGGAGGAGGCCCACGGACCCTTTGATTTTCTATTTTGCTTTTATGAACAATTTCCCCTAATGCCTGAGCCAATGACTCAGATTTTATCACACGCTGAGCCTGTCCCTCTGCTCCGCATCCGCCTGGGCTCCGGATCCTGCATTCCCACCCGCTTAGCAACACGCATGCAAATCATCCTGTCTGCTTCTGTGCAACTGTGTCAGTCCTGGCTTTCGCCAGCCTTCCTGAACTCATGTGGTGATGACTCTTCCCTACTTCCCTCTTGCTCCTCCAGTGATCTGACTGCTTGCAATATGGTTGTGCTCAGCACAGGTCTCATGATGGTTACTCTCCCCTCTGAGAATCTCTTCAGGGTTTTCCTAGCATCTGCTGCCAAGCCAATACCCTGTGCTTGAGGGATGGCTTGGTTGCTCCAGCTCCCAGAACCAAGTGTTCAGTGGACTCTCTTCGAGCAGAAGGCAGCGTGGTTATCCATCCACACAATGAGCTCCAAACCTCACCACTGTTCCGGGCTCCTTCCCTGCTGGCGTGGCCCTGCCCTCCGACTGCCCACCCATGCGTGTGTGTGTGTGTGTGTGTGTGTGTGTGTGTGTGTGTGTGTGTGCGCGCGCCCCATTGCCTGGCTTTCGGAATGCAGTCCTACAACCGGCCCTCTCTCCACCAAGTCCTGCAAAAGGACACTGGAAATCACTGCCCGGGGCCTGTCAGCCCGCAGAGCCGTGCTTGGACCTCCGGCTGACCTTGCTCCAGTCCGCCTGCTCAGAGCCAGCCCAGCGCCAGGGGCCAGGGACAGGCAGCAGAACCGGTCTTGCCTTCTGAGGCTCCGGACCTGCGCCGACCATGACCTTGGAGCCTGCGGGGCGACCTAGGCCATGCAGTCAGGTTACCCAGGCCGCGCCTCTCAACAGGTGGCCCTCAGCCAGCTCTCCCGGCCTGGGGGCGGGGCAGTGGGCGTGTCCGGCTTCACAATGGCTGGGAGTCAAAAACGGCTCAGGATAGGTGGGCGGTGCCACGTCGATGGGCGTGGTCTATTGAGGGGCGGAGCCTCGTGCGTGCGCGTCCCGGAAGCAAACGCAGCACGGACATGGGGGCTCAGGGTTTGGCGTTGCTCCCCGCTACACCATCAGGAGTCCTGCGGGGCGCCGGGGCTAGGTGCGTGGGGCGCAGGGCGTGGAGCGCAAGCGTCCGTCTGTTCCCTCGTGGGGCCCGCGCGCTCTGGAGTCTGAGCCCGGTGGCCTGGTCAGTGGATCCCCGGGCTCTCGGCTCAGCGGGGCGGACCCCTGGGTCCAGCCGGGTCTGGGGAGGAGGCGGGGCGGGCACACAGAGGCTGCTGCCTCGGGACAGTGTATCCCCCCGTGCACACGTTCGGGTGTCGGTCACGAATGACTGAAATGAAGCACGATTCTGTGTCACCGCAGCCTCCACTCTGCGCAGTCCTTTTTCTGTGACAACACCGAGGGAGTGTACCACTGTGATTACTCTAAATCACTTTTTAGAACGTTCTTTGCACTTCCGTTCTTTGGGGACGTCTTTCCAGCGCTGTCAGATGATGGGAGTTGATTCATCTCAGCGCGGTCTCCCCAGCCATGAGCCGCGTCACACCAACAGAATTCCGGGTATTGGGCTGTGGCTATCTGCTGCTGCGTGCGCGTGTAGACACACCCCCTCATGCATAATTCACTATTTACTGGCCTCTCTATAATTCATAGAAGTGGAGTGCAGTGGTTTGGAAAGCAATTTTACACGTAGGTGATGAGGAGTATTCCTTTTAGCCTGGCTGCTGTCCATCCCACTTGGTACAGATTATAACTATGTCAAAGTAGATACTACTGTTGATAGTGTGTTTTTAGAGAGCACTGCCTACGTTAGGGCAGGGTTGTTTCTCAAACGCTTTTGGCACTGGATCCAGTTACCTGGAGCTGGGTTTGGGTGTTAGGCTGAGAAACACCTTGGGCTGGTGGACTCTGTCACATAATAATGCTTAGCAATCTCTCCTCTTCTAGGACCAGAAGGGAGAAGAGAGTCCCTCTTCCAGAGGTCACCACTGTCTGCCATCCCACCTCAGTCATCTTTGTGAAAATACATTAGCTGTCTAGTTTCTCGTAGTGGATGTCACTTATATTTGATGGCACTCCTGTTGACATGAAATTCGAGCCTTAGTATTATTTTTACTAAACATATATTCGAGTTTGATAAACTCTCTAGTGATGTTAACTTTTAAATTGACAGATTTAAATTTTTTTTTTAATTGGTACCGAGGATCGAACTCACGACTGCCTGCTTGCAAGGCAGGTGCTTATGTCGCTGAGCTAAATCCCCAGCCAAATTGACAGCTTTATCACCAGTTTCTGAGCTACCTAGAGCTTTAAATTAAAAAGTTTTAGATTATTTTTCATAATACTTCTAATTAGATACCTATAATAATGGAGCATTTTAAAAAATAATGTAACATTAAGTACATATGTTTTAAAGGGAGAAGGTTTTAAAAATGAATATTTCATGAAGTATTATTTGATAGAATTTAGAAATTACAGAATCATGAGGTATTATTTAACATTTCTCTTTTGGTGATTTTTTTCCCTCTAAAATTTGCAAATTTTTTTCTTATGCATGTATGAGAAATTAATCTTATTAATCGGGAGGAAATCAGTGTGAAATTTACTTATTTGTCGTAGCTTATTTGTTGAATTTACTGCACAGGCAATAGTTTAAAGAACGAAGACTAAATGTTTTCTGTTTTGCCATGTTGTGTGAGGGAGGAGTTTTCAGATCAGAAAAGCCAGGGGTTATGGTTTTCAGTGGCTAGAAGCTGGCAGGAATGGTACAGACCTTTACATCTCTGTAGGGCAGGTTCCTGCAACCCCTGCCAGGACCTCCTCAAATCCTGTCCTTGATGCTGTTTCTGGTCGACTCATTTCATAACTAAATGAAAATTCGTGCGTTTGTTCCATGTTTATTCTAGGGCTCAATGATTTCTCCAAGTATTTGATAGATTCTCCCCCCACACACACATTTAGGGGTGCTATTATCTCTTTTAGCATCTGTTAAATTTTGTGTACCAGCCTACAGCTTTTAATGAATTTTAATACAGCTTCGTTTTTCTTTATGTCTCCTACTAATAACATTATAATTTTTGCAGCTAAACCAGCATTTTAAAAAAATCTCCATTTTTGAAGTAAAAGATACTAGTATAATTTAAATATTCATGTCATAAGAGTGGGTAGATGAGTTTAATAATTTAAAAAAGACAAATTTTAGCAGTATTTTTGCTTCAGGCTTTCCCTCCAGTACTTCATATTTCTGTCTCTGTAGTGGAATGATTTGATTTAAAGCTCTTTATATCATGTGAAGCTTGAAGGACTCAGATGCCAATTAGAACCCTAATCAAGGCTGATGTCTGTAGACTGATTTCAATCAAGACAGAATTAGTCCTAAAGGCTAGCAAAAGGAGTTTCCCCAAATGATGACCTGCTTTTTTGGCCAATGAGATAGTGTGATTTTCCTGTCTTACTTCTATACCTATTCTAATGAAAGTGAGATATAGTAGCTTTCTGATTACAGTTTTGTTGTTTAAGGAGTTCTTAAGTCATTTTAAATTCAGAAGAAAGTGTTCCACCCTTTGGTGTCTCTCATCTAGTTTTGTAGCTCAGTTGTGTCCCAGGCATTCAGAGATTGTGTCCTAATGCAGTTTCTTCAAAATCAAGCTTTCCGATGGGCATGGAGCAATAGATGAGAAAAGACCTTGTTAGTTGTGGTCTTGTGTATAGTTTAGCAATCTCCTTAGTGACCTGAATCTTTGATTTTCAAATGCATTGGAATGGTTATTTTTTGCTGATACCCAGTGGGATGGCATGAATAGCAGGGGGAAAGAAAAAGAAAGCTAAGGCACTAGATGGTCCTCTGTGGCCGTGTATGCTTTCAGGGACTCACAGGGAGCCTGAAGGTTTTTTGAAATAATCTGATTTAGAGATGATTAAAGGTATTGGTAGGAGAGGAACCTGGATGGAATTTGAAGTATAAGTAAGTGGGATAAATTGAAGGAACAACTAGGCACTAGTGAGGTTCGCTGCTGTAAAGTCCATTTTGGACTCAAGAAAGTGCTGTTTATCTGATAGAAAAGTTTGTGGGGAAAAAGCAGTATAACCCAAACCTAACTTAACAATCGAGCGGGAGAGAACGAAGGGAACTGGGGGAACTGGGTGTACCCAAGAAGGCTGTGGCTGTTCTGCTTCATATTGTATCATAAACTGCTGTGCTGTGCATCCCTAATCTGTGTCCCTAATTTACTTAACCATCTTGATATTTTTTTTAATGACTAGTTCTTGGAAAATATGAAATAATTAACTCTCAAACCCAAGTCATGATCTTGTCAACCAGATTAGCTGTGAACTCTGAGTAGGTTTCTGTGGCAGTTCTTCTGGAAGAGTGTTCCTAGAACCAAAGGCCATCTAAAAATTCATAGACTAAAATATTGGGCATTGTTTACTTAAATTCATTATCCAAGTTGTGGCTTAAGACAAAGTGACTGAAATATCATGTATGTTAACCTGTGGAAAACCTTGAACTACTAATGATTGTATTAGGCTTTTTCATCTTTATAGATCCTAAAATAGTTCTTGGTAGCCCTAATAAAAATTGTGATTAAAAATGAGATTGAGACAGGGTATAGAACTTGTCAGATATACAAATTAAATACACTGCTAATCTTGACTAAGTTTTTGATACTTTATAATTATACAGAGGAGTGTGTGGATATACAATATAGATTTTTTTTAACTACATCTACTTTGCTAAAGTAGATTTACTTTACTTTGGTTTACTAAACATCTCGTTAGTCCTAGTACTGCTAGATTACAAAGGTCACAGTTGTGTTCTAGAAGTATTCATTATTACACTCATTGAAACAATGCTAACTGTAAATGCCTTTCTGATTTCATGTTGTTCAGGTTAACTGAATATGACTACCTCTGTTGTTTAATGGTAAAAGAATGAGTCAGCTGGACAGACAGACAGACAGAGCCATTTTTGTGAGGTAGTCAGCTCTTAGCACAGTCTCCTAGGTGGGATCATTAGAGAGTGTTTCCATTGTGTGGGTGAGGAAATTGCATGTCTTTGAGAGCAATTAAGTGGTTTGGCTGACATTATTAGGGCTATTAATGGTGGACCTGGCCAGCGCTCAGAACTTATGGCTATGTGAGCAATTTTTATGGTGTACTGCTGCCCAGTACGGTCCCCTCCCGGGACCCTTCTGCTGTGATGAACAGATTCCTAGTGAAGTTCTGTGCAGCAGCTGGGCCAGGGCCATGGTGAAGAGAAAGTAATGGAGGGGAGAAAAGCTGAGGAGAGCTCTTCTCCTGCCTTCTTTGGGAATTTTTCACAGCTTTTGTGCCTTTTAGGGAAAGAAACCTCTGCAAGCTGTGAAGGTGTAGTGTGTGAAGAGGACCTAAGTGATCAAGTTAACTGCATTTTTGCTGTGCATTAATGGCCAGGGACCACATAATTTTTTGGGACAAGTTAGCACATATTTGACAGTCAAAGGGGACATTAAAATAATGAAAGTTGCACATTTGACATATTTATTGGCTTAAAATGTACTAGTGGCCGTATAAATAGTATAGTTTCTATTCCAGCTGTTTTCGAAAGATAATCTTTATCCTTCTAAATTTAAAGATTTATGTTAATTTGTAACTATTATAATGCATGCTGAATAATTATTCTTGGTGTCTATGGACAGACTTGAATTAGTTTCTTTAACTGTATCTTCCTTTAATACTTCAATACCAGTATTTTCTGAAAAGTGGTTGGTAAGATCTCAGGCTTGATTTAAAGTTAAGTTACCTGCAATTTTTTTACAAGTTGCAACTTGACTGTTTTCTTTAATAATAGTAATAGTAATGGTAATAGTAATAGTAATCTAAAGCAATTGGTAAACTCAGGGTGACTAAATCGCCAAATGGAACATCCCAATTTAAATTTTCAGGTTGAAATGTCAAGGCATTTCAGCCACATATTCATGGGTGCTTGATCGGCCCGCAGATCAATCCGTGGGGTATATACCTGGAGGGGGAATGGGGATGAATAAAACAGGGTGGGAGACAGAGAGATGGAGACAAGTTGAGGAGTCCAATCAAGTCTCGTTTATTCAGGAAGTG